TGGCTCTGTATGTAAAGTAGTATATAGACATAATGTAATACTGTAACTGGGTCTGTTAAGTAAATGAACTCTATAATGATAATTGTAAGTTTGTGTTGGTAAATATTTTCAAGACAGCATATCACGTGAAACCTTTTATTTTATTTCATTCTTGTGCCAGGGTCAAGAAGTTGGTTACAAACAATGAATAGATTATTGTTGGTGTAATTACTAGACATAATGTAATACTGTAACTGGGTCTGTTAAGTAAATGAACTCTATAATGATAATTGTAAGTTTGTGTTGGTAAATATTTTCAAGACAGCATATCACGTGAAACCTTTTATTTTATTTCATTCTTGTGCCAGGGTCAAGAAGTTGGTTACAAACAATGAATAGATTATTGTTGGTGTAATTACTAACGCAAGATATGTCCTGTAGAACCATAAACTATTGTTTTAATATGTGTAAATTACATATTTTAAGGTTAATTGCATTATCAATTTTTAATGAAATATACCTGATTATAAAATAAAACCCTCTTTCCAACATAAAGTTACAAGGTACAAAGGCTGAATGTATTCAATTTAGACTCTTATTGATTAATTAAAAGCTTCCCAGTGGCTCATTTATTGGTAAGTCTAAAGGCTCATAACACTTAAAAACCGGGTTTCATTACCCGTGGTGAGCACAGCACAGATGGCTCTTTGTGCTTAACAGCAAAACAAATATTAATTAAATAATGTTACTAACATTACTTAAACTGCCCTTTAAAGAGTACAAGCATTATTATACAAAGTTTTTCTTCTTAAAGTAACATTTAACAAATCCAGTGTATATATAAATATATATATATATTGATTCTCGTGTTATTCAAGAGTTCAGGGAAAGATCCTTCTCCTCTAAATTTTGAATCATTTTCTTTAATTCTAATATAATAAATTGTACCTTACTTCATGATGTACTTAATTCTTCTAAAATTTTAAGATGTATAGATCATTATATAATTAATAAACATCCACGTCTGTACGATATATATATATATATATATCCAACATCCGGGATATTTAAACAAAGATCTGTAGTACTCCTAATTAGGAGGAAACATTCCTTGACTTTTCTGTCTTCAGTACTTCAAGTAAAGTGTATTAGTAAGGTTGAAGCATGCATAAAAACTGAAACCTAAACAACTGAAACCTAACTATGGTGTATACACTGGTGTGCTATTCAACTGGTAGCTAT